ACATATAATATATATTTTTTTAAATACACCTGCAGACGAGCGCATCCATCGTTGGTTTGGACCGTGTAGCACATTGCTATTATAATTTTGGTTTAATTACGGTTGTTTATTGTTCGTTTAAAGGGGGGAGGGTAGAGTGTAGGACTCTGTTCAAGGTCACACATCATCCATTGAGCGTAAGCCTACTTGCATAATTTTCACTAATTATTATTGATATTGTGATTTACATTTATCTCATTTATTTGTTTGTTTTATTATTCCATCTATGGGAGGAAAGGGGGAGGTAGGAGGATTGCAGGGCCTTGAAGGTCACACTCCATCCATTGAGCATTAGCCTTCTTGTGTAATTGTCTCTAACTGATATTGATTAACATTTATGTCATTTTGTTTATTGTTGTAGTATTGTTCCTTTAATGTGAGGGGGAGGGGGGGGGGTGTAGTGCTTTGTTCAAGGTCACACTCCATCCACTGAGCACAGCCTATTTGCGTAATTGTCACAAATTGTCACAAATTGATATTGATTAACTTTTTATGTCATGGAGTTCTCTCACCACGTGACCACTGAAGTCAGACATTGTTTTGAAGAAAGGAGCGTCGACAGTTGCATTAAAGACAGGGTTAGGGTTCGTGTTGGACTTACGTTTTAACGCGTCATTCAATTCAGATACATATTAACAGAATTCAAAACTTGATACTTACCCCTTCTCCCTCGTCCACCTCCTTCAAATTTACAGCGCGTATTTTAAGAGAGTCTGAATTGTTCAATCTATATCCATTAATTTTTTTAATGTGACGCTCATAAAACATGCTGTCATTTTTTAGCTTTACCTCTGTTGAGTAATGGCGCGGGTCTTAGCCGTTGCATACGGAAGATGTGGGTTCTTTTCCCTATTCCACAAAGTTTTCTTTTGGTTCTGGGATGAATGAAGGTGTGTGGGGGTATTATTGGCTGGGGGGGGGGGTCGTGTTGGGGGGTGGGCATGGAGGTGGGTTGGAAAGGGGGGGATGGGAATGTAAACGTACCGTACCACTACAACCTCCTCTTAAGGGCGTAACTACCGGCGAACAAAACTGTATATTATTCTGCCTCATTTCCGGAACTGATGCCAAACAGCACCTGCAGCAGCGGTCAATAGAAGATAAGGTATTGTGCATCCAAACACCATCTCAAATCGAATGTATGACTTGGGACTTGTGAGTCGAAGACCTCATACAGGCCTTTGAGCTAACAATTGTTCGCCGACGGTTTCGCTATTTGTTGGCGAGGCAGTATCTTCGTCTTACCAGACATCAATGGGACAACACAATGGAAGGGTGCATACCGCTATGCCAATATAACAGTTTTTACTTACAGGACATCAGCTTGATGGACTGGCCAGCCTTTTCACCCGCTATGTCACCATTGAGACGCACTTTGGCCGCCATTTGCATGCGAGGAATGATCTCGGCAATGTCCAATAACAGGAGAGTGTTCTTCACCAAGAATGGGATAAATTCCTCAGTGTTTGATTCAAAACCTCATTTAGTTCATGAGACCACGTATTTAGACCTGGCTGGATGTCAGAGGTGGACATATCCACTATTAGAGACTTAAAGTAAGCAAACACTTTTTATTTTTCTCTTTTGACCCCCACTATGTTTGGGACGCACTACAAGCACTATTGATTCATATTTGTTTTAACACGAGCATATTAGGTAATAAAATCCAACGGCAATTTTGGAAAATATTTTGTGCGTCTATGATAAACCGGCCAACCATCTAAGTGTTGCGTTTTTAAATGTATGAACAGTAAGCTATAGTATTCGAAAATCCTACGAAGACAGTGTTGCTTGTTTGAAGCATCTTTCTTCCCTGTTGGTTCTAACCCCCATGCGACCCCCTATTTCCTTCTCAGACGTCCAGGTTTAGAGTTCTGTCTTTAAAATGCCTGATGAATAGAAAAATAGCACTTGTGAAACCAACACAATCGAGTAAAAATAAATATAAGCCTCATATCTCCTCGCATTACAAAGACCACAGTCTGCAGTTTCCTGCTGCTAACTGCAACCCCCACAGCGACCCCGGATCTACACACGAAGTTAAGTACGTGCACATGTGATTCACTGTTATCAACTGTTAACTGCGCGTCTACATGACCTTATGCAGTTGCGAGCGAAGTAAAATTCTAACCAAACTCACAAACTCAGCTGTTACCTGCACTCAATCCAATCAGACATCTGCATGCTATCATGAAATAGTCTCTGTGGTCAGGAAGACTGTCCAGGTACATGTATACAATGTAAGACAAACAAGACAAAACCAGACAAACAAGCAGCGGCTCTTTGGTTGAATTTCTCCAGTTTGCCCAGGTCCCAAAGAAAGGGCTGGCAATAAGTTGACCCAAACTGTAGGCAGACACAGCCCAGCCCATCAGGTCAGCGTCCGCGGCAGGATTCAGCTGTGCAAGTAAAAATAAATATAACTTATTATGATTGTAGATAATATCTCTAAGTCGAAACATAATATATATCAGTGAAATTACTTATTATTCATTCAAATGAGAAGTCAGTCCTGTTGTAAGGATGTGAGACATGGAACGCATCACAAACTTGCATAAAGAGGATCCAAGTTTTCTTGAACAAGTGTCTAAGAAAGTTACTGAGGATCAGATGGACAGACGGGATCACCAACGAGGAAGTGTTAAGGAAAACGAGACGGATTCCAGTCAGATATGAGGTAGGAAGAAGGCGGTGGCAATGGATTGGACATACTCTCAGAAAGTTAGGCAACATCATCAAAGAAAATGTTGGATTGGAATCCTCAGGGTAGAAGATCAAGGGGAAGACCGGATGGAACCTGGAGAAGAATTACAGACATTGATGTACAGAAAAGTGGGAAGACGTGGAATGACATCAAGAGGCTAGCCCATGATAGAGAAAGGTGGAAAAGTGTTTTTTCGTGGCCTCTACCCTGGTGCAGGGTGAGAAAGGCCATGATGATGATGACTTAATATTCACTACCTTCTTCTCACACTAGTCGTTATGTCCTGTGGGTCTTCTATTCAGCCTCCCCCCCCCTCGCCCCCACTCTCTTGTCATCATCATCATCATCATCATCACCACCATCA